GTTATAGTATAAAATAACCAGGATTAGATAGTCTTGTCCTTATGGTACTAGAGGAGAACTTGGGAGATCTAAGTTCAAATCATGTGGGGGCGTGACATATTCTCTGTGATGCATTATCATTTTTTCCTGTTCTCATGTAGATATTTTTTGTGCTTAAGTTTAGATACCTATAAGCATTAGGATTTAACAGCTATGTTTCTGAAGTATACTTCTTTAAAAATCTGGAAAAGGTTTGATTTGGAAAAAGAAAGATTCAAAATCTTTTTCTTCAGTAACACTAGATACTCTGCTAGCAAAGACTCTAAGGAAATATTTGCCTGCTTCACTATTCACCAATGATTTTGCTACTGAGAAAGCATTTTCCAGTGGATCTCTGAGATTCTTGATCTCAGGGATAAGACAAGGTTTTATCTAAATTCCTTCTCAAACTTGCAATCGTCCACAGAGATAACTATGAACAGGAGATAAAGCCTTGCGTCAGTTTTTGATATGAGAAAGAAATTAACATATTTGGCTTTCTGGAGCCCTTAATATTTAATAGAGGATTGTATGTTTTCCTTTTCTAGCAGGCTAAGTTTTCTTGCAGGAAGCTTCACTCTGAAACAAAATCTGTTCTCTTTGTCTCAGCTCTATTAACCCATATTATACAAAGGTAGAAAATAGAAGTATCCAGATTTTGCTCTCAGGTGAGCTAGAATAAGATAGATATTAATTTCAATAATGAAATAATTTTGATAGTTTTAGTAATTGAAGTTTATGATATGTGCTAGTAACCCAGATTAGTCGCATGTTGAACCAAAGTCACCACAAACTCAGTTCTGTTAGTTTCTGTAGAGTTTGCCTGATGTTCAACAACTAATGATATTCCTCATTGTTTTCAGCCCACTGACATATGAGGCACCTATTTTTTAGCTGTACGTGGGACCATTTTGTATCTCTACATTAACAGTTCAGTTCTGACAACTCACTGTTAAAGTCTAGAGAAGCATGGGTAAGAAATAATTAGTAATAGATAACGATCAGTAAGTCTGGAGAGGGACTGGATGACTGGATGATGCTCTTTCTTTTCCTAGTAACTGCAATTGTTTAAATTCATCACTCAAAATTTCATGTTATCCTAAGATCTAACATTCTGATCACTTCAGGAAGGTGAATTCAACAGTAACCAATATTTAAGAAGTTGCAGTGTTTTTTGAATCAGTCTGGTTTTGCTAGTACTTGCTTAGGTCCTTGACTGAGAGTGAGCACCATAGTATGGCTTTGACCTGCAATTGCTCCAAATCAAAAACAGAGACTTAAAGGAAAGAAAACATGGGAGCAAGCAGAAAGGCGAAACAAGTAGAAAAGCAGAATACAGCCTTATATGATTTTCTTTATGCTTTTTTCTTCTTCTTCTTGTGTATTTTTTTCCAACTCCAGGTGGTGTTCCTCTAAGAAAAAGCCACAAAATAAAGCACAAGTCACAAACATGTCATTGCCGATTTTTATCCTGCCTGCATTGTATCTATTTTGTGTATGCAAAGTGCTGTTGATCAGCATCATTTGCAAGCTTCACATAAATAAAAGGTTTGCAAAAAATCCCAAAAAATGTGATATGCCTACTCTGTGTATGGTGATGAGTAACACAATGGATTTCCATTTTAGCATCCCACATGGTCTACAAATGATGAAACTATAGGAAGAAATTTCTCTTGTCTGCAGTCTGCCTGTCAGGAAACATATGATTTGGATCATCTCCATATTGAAATTCATAGTTGCAATTGATTGTTTACTTTTCCAGAACTGAAGTAACTGGTTACCTGGTAGCCCATCAACAGGAAGGGAAAAGGGAAAAAATAGATTTGCTGTAACTGATATTTCACTGGGTTCTTAGCAAGTCAGTAAATTGTTCTGTTGTTCTTAACCTCCCCCACTCCCCCAAAAAACATACTTTTTAAAAAGTGCCTTTTGCATGATTTAACATGAGGATAAGTCTGGTAAATCCCAAATCAGTACTGAGCCTGTAATCAAAGTGTAAATTTTTATAAAATACTAATACCAATTTAGATTTGTTCTTTTAAATCCTGGAACATGGTTTGTGTGAGAGAGAGAAGTTTGTCACACCAATAAATAATTCATTTGTATTAAATATTAAATTGTTATGTCAGAAAACACTATGGTGCCTTTCTGCATTGTTTTGTTTGGACAGTGATCCCAACGCTTGACAGAATCAGCAGAGAAGCTTCCAGTGGTTTAATCATGCTGTAGATCAGGTTGTTATAGGGCAGAGTGCTTCCAAGTTGTGAAAGGTTAACAAGCTCAGCATTATCATGGCCACATCATTTCAATTAAAGCCATGTGTGGACATGTTACAAGAACATTTCCTCAAGCTAGATGTTTAGCACAGCTGCGACTGTTATTTATACTGCTAGGACACTGCACTCTTAACGCATGCTCCTGCAACCACAGAGCTTGTCCATAATTCCCTTTCTGAAGTCCTTCACGGGGACTGTTGCTTTACTTGCTAGTAATGAATAATGTAATCCTGGCTTTGCTCACTGAGCTGCATATCTATGATACCACTCTATCTCTGAGGGGTTTTTTTTGTAACAGCTATTCATAAATTCAGTTATCCATAAAAAGAAAAATAAATGGGATTAATATCCAGAAAAAAAAAAGTCAAAATAACATTTATATAGTCATAAGTTTGTTTTTCAAGTTAAGAGGTAGAAAACCAGTTGGTTGATACGTTAGAAATATATACAGTGTATTGTAGGTCATAGTCCTGAACTGACTGGCGTTTGGAATTTGTGATATAATTTTTCCCCTTTTAAATGTTTATCCTATTTGCGTCTCTGTAGAGACTGGCATGGAGGCATTTTATGCAAAAGCTGCTTCTTTTAATGCTGTTCAAAACCAGATGTAGTTTGACACAACAGACAGAGATAAATTGTTGCTTGCTCAAAGATACTTCTTCTTATGATTAATTGCCCAATGACTGAAAAATTGTTTTCTACACTTTTAACCAAGTTGCTCACCTTCCAAGTATTAATTTCTTTTCTTGGATACCAATAGCGATATTGTAATATGGAGTATGTATTCATAACAAGAAACAGACTCCTCATAATATACTGTAATGCATTTACTGTAAAGAATATGCAAGCCAGTATGTCTTGCTGTCTTAAGAAGTTTCATAAAATAGATATTTGACATAGTGGGTGCTAATATAACTGTACAATATTTTAAAGCAGTGAAAAGTCATTTATCTTATTGGACAGATTTATTTGATAAGTATTTCTGAAATGCTGAGAGTTCAGCATGTTTTGGACAGAAAATCTGGCTCATATTTAGCTAGGTTCAATTAGACTGGCTCAGGGACTTTAGACAAGCTAGACTGGCAGTGTAGATTAAAGCGCTTTAGCCTCATCTGCTGTAATTTACACCAAGGACAGATAGTTCTTTCGTCACATTGTTGGCCCTGAGGTCAGCTCTATTTATTGTAGAATCAGCATTATCATCTCTACATGGTGTAGACTGAGCTTTGGGAAAAGGTGGAGACATCAAAAAAAGAAAAAATCTGAAATGTTTAAAATGGATAGTTATCTAAATCCATCACAGATTGAGCACTATTTGGTACTTTAACCTTTGAAGTACCTTTATAAATCTCTGCCAATAGCTTTCTAAATAGAATATCTTATCGTCCATAATGTAGCTTTTCACTGGTTACTCTCTTGCCCTTTACATCTGAACTCATTATCTTTTCACTTTCTGCTCAGTAAAATGAAGATCATAATGAGGCTACTTAAGTAGTGGAATAAGCTGTTCACTTATTTTTGTGGAAAAGATTAAAATACAGCTTTTAAGATATTAGGGTCTTTAACTCTTAGAGTAGTATTTCAAAAATTTTTTGCAAGTCTGATGTAATTAGCCTGTTTTTGGCTACTCTCATACTGTTTGTCATGCTTTTTCTGTTGCTGTGCATAATTCTTGCAAATATGAGGTTCTATTTCCCATTAACACAATACTCTAATAACGTCAAAGAGGTAATTTTATGTAAGAATGTCCCCTTGTGGTTGAAGTATTTATATTTAGTGTGAAATGATAAATTTGCATGGGAAATACATCAGGCTGCGCATTTGTGGTGGTCACCTCGGTTTGCCTAAGAAGGCCACATACCCATTCGCCCCGTTTAGCTTTGTGTTTACACTTTGTGTTGTAGATCTAATGCTGCGGATGGATCCTGAGAGGCTGAGCTCAGATACCTTAACATTTGGTGCCATTAGAGAGTGGCATTAGAGTGGCGGAGCTATAAGGCCTGTAGTTATGTCATGGGACCTGTAGATCCCAGGATAGCAGTCAGGAACTTGATGGGCTTGCCTCTCAGGTATCACTAGAAACTCTTATTTAGACAAATACACTGGGTTTTTGATGGTAGTTCAGTTGCACTGCTCTTTTCCTTGATATCTTCAAAAGTAATTCAGCAACAGAACTTTTCTACTGATGCTGTCCCAAAGCAGACACAGCCCTTGAAAAAATAATTTCAGTGAATCTCTTTCTGGCATTTCTATAATAGCTATATAGATGCTGAGAAAAACAGATTTGTAGAATTTCAGATACTTTTCAAATGCTGTCCAACTTTAAAGAAGGTGAAAACTATTGAGACATTTCTAGAGAGACTTGTGTAACAATGTAAGTTGACCATTTTAGTGGAGAATTTTCAGAAAGAGCAAACTGAGACATTTTATCCCCATGTTTTCCACAGCCTTATTTCACCTCATGCTGAATGTGCTTGCAAGAACTGAAGTACTTTAGTTTTACATAGGGCTATTTAATTTGCTCATTATATGGACTCTCTTTTTGCATTCCAAGAAAACCTGTAAAAATAAGCAATATTAATTGCCATAGTATCTGTCTACTAATTTATATTTGTTAAAAGTAGATTCATGTCTGAGTAGTTTATATATTTCCAAGAAACTTTTGATTTTACTCAGAATTCTGCATCTTGTGTTTCTTTCTCCTAGATCGAGGAGGATACGTGGCAGAAATACTATCTGGAAGGAGTTGCAAATGAAATGTATACAGAATATCTATCTAGTGCCTTTGTGGGTTTGTCCTTCCCTGCAGTTTGTGAGTAAGTAGATATATATATGCATATACATAAAAACACACACAATTATTTGCGTGCTCTCAAGTGAAATCAAAGGTTTCCATAAGAGACATTCTCACTCTGCTACAGTCCTAATATTGCTCTGCATCAGATGGGATCCAATAAAATAAACATTAGCGCAATCACTGCATGGAAGTTTTCCAAACATTTTAATGCCTGTTTTTAGAAGTGATTTGGAACTAAACGATAATAAATGAAAGCTTAAATGTTTTTGGTGTTGAACAAATTAATCAGCAATCTGTTTAAATTGAGTTATTTATTTGTAAGTGCTATCTCACTGTTTCTTCTAATGATTCTCATTCTTTGAATGGTATTTGGCAGTGTCACCGTCTTGGCTTATGTCCCATTTCAGGAAAATTATTCATTAATTGAAGCAGATGTAATGGAGTTATATTCTAAGTTGTGTGACAACCAGCATGCTATGCAAATGGTTGCAATACACTTTTAACAAATGAAACATATGTCAGAGAAAATATATCTGTTCTGTAATGAAAAAAGAATATTTGAAGCATATAGTGTATAGCCATAGCTGAGCAATAGTAGTTTTATTTCCAGAAATTCCTTATTTGTCCTAGAAGTATTCTGTGAAAGAGAGATTCATGTACACGGTGTTTCTAGGACAAATATCTTTGTCACAAATGTAGTTGGGACATTTTAGCACTATCAGATTTCCTCTTTTGTTGGTACTGTTCTCCATTACAGTAATACCAAGAAATTCTTACAGAGACTGTGGACCACTTTTCCTAGGGCCTGTTCAGAGTAGAGTCTGTTTCTTATTAGGCATCTGAAGAGAATGATTTCTAGCTAGATAACAAACTAAAACTTTAGGCTCCATTCTTAGAGCAGGAAATAAAGGAGGAAGTAAGATAGTATCTCTATGTAAACTAGAATGGCTTTGCTTTAACTCTTCTCACCTGTCCCCTTTCCTGATTTTTGTCATATAGTCTACATTATGGAATAAGAACAAGGGAAAAAACAACTGCTAGGCAAATGTTAGTAATTAGAAAATCTGACTTTTTCTGGGATGTATCTAGCCTGACCATTTGATTATCTGATAACTTAATTATCTTTGTGTGTGTGATTTTTTTTCTTTGACTTAAAAATAAGTTGTAACTATCGGCAGTTTAGTGATTCAGGTTATTTAAAGTACAGTGGTAATTACAATGTTGTGTTATGCATACTGTTATATATCAGGTTTGGTGCATGTGTATATTCATCACCAGTATCCAGTTTCCAGAAGACACACAAAGCAGCAAAACATGCATTTCACGGGCTTGTGAATAGGAAATAAAATGAGTGAACAGTCTTAGTCTGGTCAACTACTGACAGAATGTAAAAACTTTAACAAAGTTTTTCAAATCTAGCTTTTAAAATTCATGTAGTTGATGTCATTTAAAAACCCAGTGACTGAATGAGACATGCTGTTCCCTTGGCTTGGTGGTCTTGATTACCAGTCTAGCAACCTGATTCTTTGATAGATATGTTGCTGGTTTAGGCAACAAGCTTAAAAAGGGTGCAGTAACATCTGTTATTTCAATGGAATTAGGGCACACAGTATTTTAGCAGAATTTCAAGCTTTTGACCTCAACACCAACATAAAGGGTGACGCTGATATTGATGTAGAAGTGAACAGCAGTCGTCAAGTTTCATTTATAACACAGCATGCGTATGTGTGCTATTTGAATATATTCCCCCGTATAATTATGTTCTAATATGTGAACATAATTTCTATAATTTTGTGCCCTTGGTTCTTCGAGTACTACCAGTCAAGAAGGCTGGTTTATAAAGGAATAACCAATTTATTTCTATCTAGGTGGATAGAAATGGTTGGATTCAAATTCTTAAGAGCCTCTGTTCATGAACATCTGTGTTCATCTGGACTTACCAGATGATACTGGTGGTTGAAAATAAAATAGAAATAAACTTCCATACTGTCATGGGTAATTTTTTTGGATCTCTGTGTAAATAATTACTTGGTATAGAAAGCATTCTGTCTTCTTATAATATATATTTTTTTAATTTATTTATCAGGAAAAAAAATACAAGGATAAAATCTTTATCTGGCAAACAAAATGCATCATTTCCATTATTTTTAATTGGCATCATTCTCATTATTAATCCTCAGAAGCTACACTTCCAAAATACTGCTAAATAATAACATTTATTTATCCTGCTGTTGACATGGATAATTTCACACAAACCTACTCATTTTAACACATAAGTACATTTTTGCTTTTCTATAGAGGAGAGTGATAGATTGGTCCCAATGTAGTAGGGTGATGTGATGCTTCTCACCCTGTGGTGTGTTTTTGGAGGCATGTAGAGATTAGAAAATACTGCACAAAGAGATAGTAGTGATGTTCAGTGTATTTCCTCAAAGAACATAGTTGGTCAAAAAAAAAATGGTGTAGAACTTCTGGCATTCTCAGCTCATAACACTGTATAGGGAACCACAAAATTATATTATCATTCTATTGCAGATGCATAATACTCCCAGTAAAACATCTGGAATACTCTGATATCAATATCCTTGAAAACTGGATATTTTTTCTTCTTCTTTTTTCTTCTGATGCTGTACACGTAGTCAGCCTTCATTTTCCTTTTAATACTGTATGAGGTGATGGGCTAACCAGGAACTGTGTAGCTGTCAGGATGTTGTAACCCCATTTCTGGGGTTGGGCAGAAGTGCTGGGGTAGGATAAGAATTTTGGTTGATTCTGAAATACAGGTGATTTTGTATTTATCTGCTTCCCTATGTTATCTCCCTGTGTGCATGTGTGTACACTGAGTTACCTCCTGCTTTCTAAGAGGAGGAGGGAATTGATGTATTATATCAAGCCTATGAAGAGAAAGTTTTCGAGAAAAACCTGCTATTATGAATTATAGTTCAAAAATTAATACATAGTATATTCCTTTGTATATATCTGTATTTTGATATAAAGCACATTGGCTCAGTATTGTTATCCCCCCACATCAAAGTTTAACTTTGATTTTTATTTCATGCCAAGTTTTACACCTATAAAAAAAATACCTATCAAAGTATCTGCATGTACTTTCCCATATACTGATCAAAAATGATTTCTAGTTATGCTGTTGCTGGTTGACAGTAGTTGATAAACATTTATTAATAGTGTACTGTGGATTTAGATCAGTGCGTACATATGGTGTAAGGAACCAGCAGTACATCAACATATGGCTAAATTCTAGCACAGATTGGAAATGTTTCCTCTAGACAGCCACAACAGCAAATGAAAATCTTATGCTGTGTATCATGACCTTTGTTTAATAACAGTAGATTTAATAAAGTAATATGGTGATTATGCTAGTGTTGTAAAGTTGCTAGTTTTATAAATTTATGAAAATGTCTGTTATTTAATTTCAAAATACAAATACCTTAATATATATAACGTAGGCACCTGATTGAGAAATGTGACAAAACAGCCTAATTCTCAAAGAAAATTCGTGCCTCTTGCAGAACTCTGCTTATGAGATACTGGTTGTGAAGAAAGACTGACTCTTGACTTCTTTTCTTCCTTAGACTGGTGTTTGCGAAACTAAAGCTCTTAATGATAGCCATAGAATACAAGTCGGAAAAGCGAGAAAGCAGGTATGTCCATGACTGCAAACTTTTAAGATTTGGGATGCACTGTCGCTATTTTTGCCTGTTAGTATTTCAGAATGAACATAGCTGAAGTATTTCAGATTGTAATTTGCATGCTGCCCATTACATGAGTTTTTTATAAAGCTGAAAGGCTTTTGTTTCTGTCATATTCCTCCTTTCCAAAATTAATTTGAGAGAATATTTGGTAAGAGGTATGGAATAGCATTATATATGTGCAATTTGTTACTTAAACAAAAACCACCTAATTCATTATACAATAGTCTATTTGCTCTAGTCAGCAATTGAAGTAATTTTACTGAAAAATTGGAGAATAGATGTGATACCACAACCCTGGATATGTGTATTTCTCAAAATAAGAATTTCACATAAATGAATTTGAAAGAACTTTCTTATGAAAGGTAGAGGAGAAATAGAAATATATGGTATGCGTAATGGATATGTGTTCAGACAAAGCTTGTGTATGTGCATAACAAAGAACTAAACTGGAAAAGATTCATTTATCCTTGAAATTAAGATTTGATTGATTTCTTTCTTCGTCTGAAAAGAAGAAATTTCATTACATTTCACAAACAAGCAAATAAATGTTCCTTGGTTTTGTTTTCATATAAAGTTTGTAAGAATCCTGCTATAAGTTAACTTGATCAAGTCTCTAAAAACTTGTTCACTACTGCATTTACACAATGTTAACTTCCATATAACAAAAGTTCTGTAAATATGTTCTGCAAGTATGTCAGCAACATATAGAGGGACATGTAATAAAATCTCACATTTTTCTCAATTGAAAATTACCTTCTGAAATGCGATAGTAAAACTGGAACCATATATATTAGGTCATCTTATTTCTGACAACCAATTACCTAAACTTATTGAGGACTATTGAAGGCATATTTTAATGTTTATTCCTGGATTGTTCATTTTCATTTATTAAAAATATCTATAAAAACTATGTGGGGCATTTGACACACAGAATTTTCTGCCCTGTACTTTGTTTTACATGACTCTGCTATGCGATAAGTAATATGTGAAGTGCTTGTCCACCCTATTCTGATTAAGAAATCTCTTTTTTTTTTAATACTAGATTTTCATAATGATTTTAGCTGCCATAGGCTTGTCATGAAAATAATTACTTTCATTGAATGATCTCATTCTGAATTAGCTGTTGTAAAGCCAACAAGTAATTGTTCTTTTATCATTTTAACCTAGAAAAAAACAAACACAATAGAAACAAGTGGTACTATTTACCAGATTTTGTATTTTACAAGGATTTACTTTTTATCGGTTCCCTCTAAGAATTATTGTCCAACTTGAAGCTGTCATTACTTTGCTTGTCATTTAGTTACAAAAGTGCTAATATCACAGCCTTTTGTAGTACTAACAGATTATTCATGGCTACCACATAATTCTTTGCAGTAACTTCAGTGGGGTTTGTATTGAGCTCTCAAGCACAAAATGATGCAGAGAATACCCCCCAAAATAATGTGATGTGTTAGATTATGTTCGTTATATTCCTTACCTAAATTCACACAAATTATTTCACAAACAAATAATTTTGTAGAACAAAAGAGCCTAAGAATTGCAGGAAGCGGTATCAGCGAAGGGATGATAGCTGTTAGAGAGTTTGTGAACACACATGCACACATATATACACACACACACACATAAAAGAGAATATGTAAGATAGATACTCATATCTTCATATAACCCAGGTCCATAGTAATAGTTGCTGGTCTTACTAACCTGGAGAATTTATGGTCACTGCTTGGTGAATCACAGGACTGCTCTGTCTACGTTTTGCTAGGTTGCTCACGGTAACTGTTTTGTAATGACATGCTGCATATCTTTACTATTTTACTTATCCCTGTGCTCTTCAACCAAAAGTACTCATTTGTAGTTTCCTCAGTTGAGGCTTTTTAGTCTAATCAAAAAAAGGTAATGGAACAAAACTTCAGTTTCTCATATTTTAAGCATACCTGAGTTTTCTTGCATGTCTCTAAATTTAAAAGAATGGGGATCAAGATAAAAAATAAAATAACTTGGCTTACAAGTGCAGCTGCCATTGGCTACAATAAATTTAGTGTTCACTAATTATTTCTGTTAATGCTGACTCTGGCAAGATTTTATCCTACTTTGTATCTTCAGTTTTTCGATTGTAATACTTCATAAATGTGAAAAGGATGTTAGTTATGATTCCCTTTTATCTTTCTCTCTTTCACAGTGGAAATATACCAATTTATTTTATGATTACAGTTTGTTTTCACTTTTTGCAGAACTATTGGGAGGTTTTATCTACTTTACAATTTATAGTAGTAATGATAACTATAAATAAATATTCACAATTCTATCTAGATGACGCCCTTTTTTTTAAAGAGCTAGGCTTTCCCAATATAGCAGAAGCAGGTGCAGGACCAGTATTTTAAGAACCAGAGAAAATTTTAGAAACATGCTTTTCTACTTGAATGATGAGAAGGTCTTACTTCTGCCACTTTGAGTTCTGTCAATGTTTATAATATAATAGCTAAATAAGCAAATTAGATCTTTCACTTACTTAATGGAATTTCCTTTAACGGTTAGTTTTGTCTGCTTTCATCACTTTGTGCTCAGAGTTAAAACAACCACAGAGTGAGTTCAGGAGTGTGTGCAGCTCTCAAAAGTGCAAGTTCTAGATCTTTAATCCTTTTTCTAATTTACCTCCTCAGTATTAAAAATATATCCAAGCACTGTTTTAAGTCAATGGCAAAATTTTCATTGACTTAATGTCTCCATTACAGAAAGACATATATGCTCATTTACCTAGGCAGTTTTAGACAATATTCTAAATTTGAGCTTTCTAAAGCTTTCTAATTTGGAGTTAAGTTGTGTTAACCTCACATCTATGAATCTGAGATTCATAGTAATTATAAATCATCAGAAATTTATATTCAATATAGTATACCAGCTGAACCTGGTACTTTTATTCTTTTCATGAATCCTCATAACACTATCCAAAGCACTAAGCACAACCTGCTAATAAGTTTGAACCATATTAGATTGTTAATGCATAAGCATTTTATGATTTTACAAGAGTGCAATTTAAAAGTACTTTTAAGTAAGAGTTTTACAAGCCCAAATATATCTACTAATTAATATATATGATGTATGCACATAAAAATAATAGATTAAATATCTTCAGTATGATTTATATCTATAATCTTTTTATGTAACAATTTCTCATCAATATACTTTAAAATTAGTTAAAATAGCTATGATTGTTTATGGTCTGAATCATTTAAATTACAATTCAATTATCAAAGAAACCTCTGAGTGTACAAAACGTAACAAAGTCTAATTTCTGGGTTTCAGCTACTAAGGTCTGCACTGAAACAGTTCCTGGTCACAATATGAATTGGTCACTCCTCCATCTCTAATTAGCATCTGTGAATATTATTATCATTGTTACTGAGAAGTAGGAAGTACTTCTAAATAAATTTCTGTGTGTCTAATGCAAGTCCAGTACATTAGCTTAAAAAATGCTTAGTCCATTTGTAGGAAGGTTTCCTTTCCTCTGCAGAGAAAAATGCTTTCGTATAAAGCAGTATGGAGAGCATCAGCCTAGCAGAACTTACTGAAGACAAGACAATAATCAATTGAAAAGACAAGAAACAATATTAATTGAAAATGCACACTTTGAAAACCACATCGTTTCCCTTCCTTTTTCATTTTTTTTTAATATGAGCAAGAAGGAAAGCCTAATCAGGATTCTTCCCTTCTGCACCGTGTGTTTACTCCTCTTGTTAAATTTTCTCTTTGTCTATCCATTTGTTCTCATTCTAAGCAGAAAAACCTTTGAGCCTTGGAGACTTTTAAATAAAGGTTTTTTTTGCTTTTGCTTTGGTGTCAGTTGATTTCTTATCAAAGTGTTTGATTTGCAATTTTTTTCTTGTCGTTTGCAGAAGCCGAAAGCGGTATGCCCTCTTCGTTACCTTTCCTTCCAACCTCAATCCTACCTCCACTCCTTCTAACTTCAGGACTAATTCCTTGCCAAGAACACAGGAAGATAACACCTTTGTCTATCTTTCTCTGTATATCTGTACATATATATATATTCATGTTTCTAAATGTGTATATATATATATGTATATTTATATATGAGCCCCCAATCTCAAAAAGGAGAGAGAATAGCATTTTGTCTCTCCGTTGGTTCTTGTTACTCATGCACTAACTTCTTTGCAGGAAACCAAAACGTAAAACAGGATAAGTTTTAGGACTTTTCCCGTATAGCTCTATTGGTATATCAGATTATTATATTTAGGAACCAGACTTTACTGTTAACATATCCCTTCCTCTTTTTGTTCATTTGTATTGTATCGTGACGGTGTATATTTCGTCTTTACCGGCCCTTGTGCTGCCATGTTGTCTCCATACTCACCCCTTCATTGATATCCTTCTTCTCCAGAGTCTTTCTTGACGTCTTGCAGTACAGTAGCTCATGTTCTCTTGTGACTTTGCATTAACAACAATCGAATGCCCGATTCTTTGCATTGCTGATCTGTTTCAGCCCAGTTGTTCATAATACTGTACATATTAAAGCTATTGTACTGTTCCAGTAAAAGTGCCATGGATAGTTGTACTACGTGTTACATTCATCCTAGTGACATTTATTAAGTTTATTTTTGAAGATGTTACTCAATGTGTTTATATCTAAGTTTTATTTTTCTCTTGGGGATGGCATGTTTTACATTTTCTTTTGGTACACCATGCTCTGGGCCCCTATGTAGTTTAAATTCCAGTGCTGCTATTGATTTGAATGAAATAAATAAGGCACACTTCCATATCCTCTCCTCTCACCTCCTCACTTCCTTTTCCCTCTTTTTAACTAATTGCTTGTACCAGTCTCTCTCACTGTCTGTGGTAGTCTTCACAGACCTATTTCATTGTCCGGACATTCCAATTTCTATCTTCATTGTACTCTCCAAACTTGCTTTCCATATCTGGTCTGTTGTGTGTCTTCTGTGTGTTATATTTATTTCATATTTAGTCTTATTCTTTTGTGGTTTTGGAATAGATGTGAGAAAAGTGAGGCGGCTTCCTGTCAGTTTGGCATTATTAATATGATCCAACTGCAGAGAAGTTACTGCAACACTTAGCATCTTCAAGGATCTGCAGTTGTTGCACCTCTACTTCGCTATTTGCTTTTAAGTATATATTTTATCTTGTGGTGAAGGCATGTTAATGCTGGCATGACAAGCAATATGAAGAAGTGTTGTACAAAGTGAAGTTGCTTGCTCCCAGAATAAAATACATTGTGCTCCTCCATTGTATTGATAATCAATTACTACTTGAACTGAAAAGAATAATTTAATTGTTTCCAAGTGTATTGAATTCACCATCACTGTTGAAATAGTTTGGATTATGCCCCAATAAAAAAACCTTGCACACACCCTGTAGACTATGACTCAGTAGTTGCTATTGTAAAGGACTACTTAATTCCTGGGAGCAACCTTATATGCTTGTAGTAATTGAGCTTTAATATACTGTAGCATGTAATGTGCATTGTCTCTTTTGCCTTGTATTCTTTTTAGTGTCTTATTGGATTTTTTCTGTGTAGAGCAATATGGAATCTGAGTTAATGTAGTGATAGAGCCCAGAAGAAAGAAGCAGTACTTATGCACGCATGTAGTGTGTAGCTGGTATGCACATAACTCTCACTATGGGATTTGTGCACTTACCCTCACACTCCACTTCAAAACACACACTGAGAGAAGATGTTGCCTCACATTAATGCTGTAATTCTAATTCTGTTGTTTTGTGAATGACTTGGCACATTTAAAAGTCCATTATACTAATGATGGTGCATTTCATCTGGGCACAGCATGAACCACTCAAGAATATTAGCTGTGTTTAACAATGTAGTAACTATCGTCAGCAATACCAGTCTTGTTTTAGATAATGTTTCAGAAGTACTTAGCTAATATTTGATTTGATTAACATGATATTGTTAATATTTCAGTTGCATGGGGAATGGTACAGTACATCTACCACAAGGTTTAAGACAGAGTTGTCACAGCTTTTGTCATTTGTTTAGTCAAAATTTTGCCATTTGTGTTTCATTTAATTCAACAACTAATCTTATTTTCTTTTAGACAAGGATGATGGCAGTTAGAAGGGTAGCTATAAATATGAAAGACAAGTTTCCTTGATGAAGGGATGAACTTTTCAAAACTGGTTCATCAATGGGGAGCATTTCTTTGGTGAATATGACTTAGATTTTGGTCACTGATGTTGGGATTCACCTCACCTAGCTTTGTCAAGCTAAACATTAGGTATCTATTATCCTCCCCATTACCTATCTAGACTCCCATGATTGCAAGGGAAGACAGTTCAGAAAGTGGCCTCCGTTTTGAGATGGATGAGATGAGATGATTCCCACCTTTAGTGCAATCCTGAAAATAAGAACAAACAAAAATAGTATGTATCAGAGGCTCCTGTCAGGGAAAATTCTTGAGAATTTTTTATCTCGTTTTGTGACGCTTTATGTCTCTAACGTCATCTACACATATTCCAGACTTCAGCCTTTGTGGAGTGCTGCTAAAATATATTTGCCCTTGTCTACTTTCTATAGTGCACTTGCTAGGCATCTGCATGTGTGTTTGTTGGCTTAGGATTGAGACATCTGCAGCACCTCACACATCTTAATGTGATCTCACAAAAGACTGACAAGTACAAATCTAAGAGGCATGTACTGTACATTCAGTGCTCCGATTAAGGGATGACTTTAACAATTCTGGAAATACGGTCATTTTGAGTTTGTGCAAAGTAAATTGTGAAGCTGTCTCCTAACAATTATATACAACTTAACCAAGGTTCAGACTCTTAACCTTATTAGTTATTTTATAGTTACGCTTTTCAGAGAAGGTAGCTGAAAAGCTATAGGGAATGTTTTTCAACTTTTATTGTGATTTTCATGAACTAATAATGTATTAGAAATAATGTATTGTAAATTCTAATAACATAGAAAAAATATCAATTGTCAAACTTCCTAGTGCAGTTTCAACTCAAGAAACAAAGTTCAAGTCCAACATGTATAGTATTTGAAAGCAGAAGACGCTCAAACATTACGTAACACCAGAAATCAGTACAAAATAAATAAATAGTCTTGCCAAACATGTCAATTCACAACTTGTTCTGCAATTCAGACCTTAAGCTTTCAGATTCTTCATCAGATATCCTTAAGTTAACAAACTTTTGCAAGTCACTGGAGACTTGCAGTTGGTTATCAGAACTTTACTCGTTTTTAGTATTTTCAGGGAAAATGTATTACAGTATCCTTTGAGAGGCCATTGTACTGGTGTATTGCGTAACCTGCAATTCACACAATGCCAAAAAGGTGTTGCACTCTGCTTGTGTTCTGCTTCTGGGACTTTCGGATCTGGGGGAGTCTCAGATAAATAGGAATGAGTGAGCAGATATTCATATATATATATATATATATTATATATATATATATATATATACACCTTATACAAAAGCTAGCATATGTATTAAAAGCAAGGAAAAGTTATACCCCAGTAAGTGAGAAAATCAATCACATTAACACACATCAAAGTTACTATCAGATATCTCTTCTACATTGACTTATGGAAAACATATTATCTCCTTAACCTTTTGTTGACCCATGTAAATAGAAGGAGATTCCCAAGCACTCTTTAGTGTTTTTCTGACCATATTTAATTTTTTTACTTTTTAAAATCTATACATCTCAAATGTTCTTGCAAATTCCTACTTTTCTATTTGCCTACTTAAACTGTAGTTACTCTGACAGTTCAGTTTTAACTGCTTATTTTCGATCATTCTTGATTCCTGAGTACAAATGGATTCAAGGATGATTTCCGCATTTTCTGTGTGTGACCTGCTTTCACTGTTCATGCTTTTGATTGTTCTTGGATGCAGGATTTTGTATCTAGTGACCAAGTGAAACTTGTTCAGCAAATGAACTAATTTTTGCTGCCTATCAGATAAATGTAGAGTTTTCTAAACTGCATATTCTATTCCATAAGTGACTTAGAAAGAAATTGTTATCTTGTCATAGAATAGTGGAACTGGCTTCTTGCTTCATTTGGTGAGCTGATTTGAGAGAAAAAGAAATCAAATTATATTTTATGATAAGAAAGTATATTTGAAAAAATGAGATATCATTTTCCATTGCATTTTCTCCAATGCATGGTGCACAGTAGATATGGATCAGCTATAACTCTTATTATTAAACATAATGATTCTCTGTCCTTTTCTCGTTTTCCTGCATCTTACTATACTTTCCAAAGCCCCAAACTTGGAGATAAATAAAAATGAGACATAAACAGAGGCTTTCTGTCTTAAAACTCCAAATTACTTTGCCATGCCTGTGTCTTCTCAACTGCAGGGATACAGTACAATGCAATAGATGCATATTTTCAAAAGCTGCTTGAACAGACGCATGCCTCTTTAAATAACTGTTGGATATGTTCTTCTTGGAAAGCTGTTTTGTTTTCCTCTATCTGTTTTATTCCCTTTTTTTTTTTCAGTTTAAAACTGTTTCCTTGCTATACATGTTACAGCAAGTGATTATCAAATTATATTTTAACTCATGACACTTGTCCCATAGGAAGTAATATAATTGTAACTTCAATAAGCAGCATATTTCATAAAACCATGTAGACTCAGTAGAAACCGCTCATAACTTGCTCTGGTTAAAGATCAGCATGTGCAAAGAAAGCCAGAGAAAGCCTTTGCTGCGACTCATTGTCAATAGCAGTTATGGGTCAAAGTAATCTTTTTTTAAATTATTTTTCCCCCAGCAGAAGATTTTGCTGTTTGCTTAACTGCATTCACATCTGTGTTTTGTAGCTGTAAATATGTAGTATTTGTGAAAAATAAATCTATGTAAGTGAAGTATAAGATATTCTCACAATAGTGAAGTCTGTACTTTGACCCACCTTAATTGATTTCATATGTCTCAGAAAACCTTGAGATACAAAACCATACTTTTAATGCCTTTGTATCTTAGAAGACAGTTACTTCTAGTGTAAGATGATCACCGTTTCTTACAATATCTAATTTACTTGCTCTAATTAGCTACTTTGTCATATCCAGTAGTTATATCAGATTCTTAAGAAATTTGGTTTGTTGAGTGTCTGGGAGGATTTTTTTTTTCCCTTTGTATTTGAAAACTAAAATGGTTTATCTATCTCCAAGAATGGGATCAGGATTAAAAATCAGTTGTACCTGTCAAGAAATGCACTCATCTGTTTTCACTGAAAAGCTGTAGCACCTCTATGATTAAGGTTGAGAAATGAAGAAACAAAAGAACTGTTTTTCTGATAGAATAGTGCCTGTTTCTACCAAGTAAAAATGGCCAAGTCTAACAGTGTTTTAAATTGTTGAATGTTTTAGAAGCAGGGACTAGAAGAGTTTTTGAGTTTCACAGTTAAATTCTCAGGATAACAGCAGCTTCCTTTAAGCATAGAAGAAACATGTTAGGTCAAGAGAGGCTAAGCACTTTCCTGCAGTTGCTTCTCGGCTGCTGTAGCAGCAGGCAACAGAA